TGAGGGTGGCATAGGGATAGTTTGTTGTCACGTGACTTTATTACTTATATTGCTATCCTAAACAGAGTTGCATGCTTCTAAGTACACCAAAGTTGATGGACTTAGAAGGTGTAACACTGCTGAGGCTTGCACTGTTAATTACTATGATTATAAGCTGAAGTTCTCATGTGATGAAAGCTGTTAGCTTGCAGTATGAAATAGCTATTCGGCTGTTAGCAGAGTAGCGGCCATGTAGAAAGGATCTTAGAAATAGGTCCACAAGCTCTGAAGTGGTTATTTGAACGTATGAGTTTGTATACTTGGAATATAGGCTGAGATCCAGCCAGATTTTTTGCTCAATCTCACTCAGTTCTTCTCCTTTCAACACCGATCCAACACATCTTTTGTACATGCGGGTCCCAGTGATTGTTAGCATTGCCTTTTTGGGTTTTCAAAGGGGACCTTTACTCCCTTTCTCTCACCAGGAGAAAAGCTGCTGAATCAAATCCTTAGAGTATTGGTCAGTGTTTCCCAGATCTAGAATAGTGAAGGCACACATTCTTCCTGATTTAAAGTTGGAATGGTTTAGTTATACTTGGTGCAGAGATGTAGCAAACTCTGCTGCTAGAAGAGACTGGTAGGAGGCAAGATGAGAGCAGTGAGTTATCATGGATGGATATGCTGCCTTTAGAGGAGCTCTTAATCATTTCATTAATTTGTTTCTCATAGCACACAGTTTAAGAATTACTGGTTAAGTATTTCACTGAGTCAGACTGACAAGCCAACTTAAGCCAGCAGTGCCCACCTTTTCTGGCAGAGATTCTCCAAGGTTTTGAGCAGATGGCTTCTTTTCTGGAGATGCAAAAGGTCCTCATTTATGGAAAGTCTGGTGTGAGCTACCAGCTATGGTTCCTTCCTGAAGTTATAAATGTACTGACCTCCTGTTCTACAGTAGGGTGAGCATCAATGCTGCACAAACCAAACTTCCAAACATGCAGGAAGCCTATGAGAGGTACATCACCAAACATACCATTTAACACCTGTGACTTCAGCATGGACATGTGCCTTGTTGGGAAGGTTGACACTATTTCATCTTTGGAAGCCTTTCGCTCTTGAAAGCAAAAAACAGTCATTCTTAAATGGTGAATGTCAGCAACTAGCGTGTTGATTTTGTACCTGTTTTGTTTTGTTTTTCAAGCCCAGTTTTGTTTCTTAAATTTTTTTTAAAAAAACAAAGACTAAGCTGAAAGATGGAACAGAATCTCTCGGAGAAAAAACCAGCCATCGCCCAGACTGCAGACTTCGATGTTATGGGTGCCTTAGACTGGAAAGACGGCATTGCCACCTTGCCGGGTAGCAACATACAAGTAAGGAAAAAGGGGATTAGGGTAAACAAAGCCCCTAACTTAGTAGCATGTTACATTACCAAATGTATCTATGCCAATAAAGGTTGACTGACTGACATTACAAAATGTTCTTTTGTCAGGGTAGAGAAAAGGCATGCTGTGAAATGTATTGACCCTGTGATGTGAATTGCAGCCACGGTAATAAAAGCAAACTGAGATTGGAGTTGCTAGATTTCTAAACCTCATATCTGGGGTTTCTGGAGATGAGATCAGCTAAGAAACATAACTTAACTTTCTCTGCATAAAAACAGACTAGGGTTATGCATTTTCAACCACACAAAATCACTTTACTTAGAAGACAAATCCAAGTGGAAGTAGTTGTTGAGGCAGAGGATGCCATTTGTTAGTTTGCTCTTAAGGTTGAGGATTGAATATTTGACTAGTCAAAAAAGATTTGGTCCGATATTGTCAAATAAGTGATAAATATTTTATTACAACAGCAAAAAGGATACTTAAATCATCAACAGGTTTGATTCATACTAATTGCTATAATTACTTAACTAACTGACATTGTGAAACAGTGGGCTAGATCCAGAATGTTCAGCTTGCAGAAGGGAACTTTCTGCCTCCTCCTGCAGTATACCACACCTGCCCCACCCAACACTTGTTCTCCTCAAGGGTCAGAGTATCTCTGGTACTGGATGTAGTTGTCAAAGTTGGCAGTGGGAGGGGGGAAATTAAGAAAATCCCATCTCGCGTTCAAACAGTTGGAAGACATGTACTTTGGCTGATGAAAAAAAGGTTTTTTTTAAAAATGCAATGAATGTCTTTAATTTGTAATGAAATTTGATAAGGTTTTTATATAAAATTATGCATCAGGTAGCAGAAGTGGCTAGAGATGACTCCCCCCCCCCCCCCGATGCTGAAACTTACAGGCACACAGTGGAATTGATGAGAAGTGAATGCAGAGCACCCAAAGTATAACTGTGAACTTCATTACACACAATGTAGCTATGGCCCCTAGTTATGCTGACTTTAAAGGGGGATTAGATGCATTCACACAAGTTGCGTTCATCAGTGATAGTTACCGACAGTGACTAAGTGGATTTCTTCATGTTCATAGACAAAAAACCTTTTAAGTACCAGTGCTGGGGTTGGGGTTAACAGCAAGAGAAGGCTTTAGCTTCCACATGCTGCTTGTGGGCTTTCCAAGGCATTTGGTTGGCCACTGTGTGAAACAGGATGCTGGACTAAATGAACTATTGGCTTGCTCCACAATGGCTGCTCTTAGATTCTATATATGTGAATGATTCACTGATCAGTTTTTCTCCTTGGCTGCCACCTGTGCAATGGCATATGTGGCTTTGTGGGATAGCGCTATTTAGCCTTGGTCAGTTGACAACATTTGATGGATCAGTTCACTTGTGTGCCATCTCTATTGGACTGCCAAGCAATAGCTATGGATATTATTTTAGAGTGCAATAACTAGAAACAAAACATACCATCAAGGCCCTAGCCCCATGTTTCATTGAGGTTCTGTGTGTACATCTGGATATGTGGTGCTAAGGATTCGAAGCTGGTGACCACAACTAACAGCAGGTGATCATAGAATAATCTGTGGCTGGTTGGACTGTCCAGAAGTGCTGGACTGAAGACTGAAATTACAGTGAATCTATAATGTCATTTGTAAAAATAATTTCAAGTGGGTAGCTGTGTTTGTCTGTAGCAGTAGAACAAAATTTGAATTCCAACTTTCATGATTTGAGTTCCAGCTATCACGAGTCAAAGCTCACTTCATCTAAGTATGTGACAAGGTGGGCTTTGCCTTGCAAAAAGATTATACCCTGAAACATTTTGTTGGTCTTTTTAAGGTGTTACTGGATGCAAATTTAGTTCTAAATGTCATGTGACGGCCATCACATTGAAGATAGTTTGTTGGAACATCCGTTCTTAAATGCAGACTTTTTTGAACGAGCTATGCTCGGGCAAAGGGCCCATTTAGTCCAGCATCCAGGTCACTCTCCTAGGAGTAAGGCCCATTGAATAAAATGGGACTTGTTTCTGTGTAGAACTGTTTAGGATTGCCCTCCAGTTTCTTACAATGGCCATCAAGGTGCTTCTGGGAAGCTTGAGAACAACAGCTGTCCTCTGATGTTGTCTCCTGTCAGCTGGTTTTTAGCGGCATATTGATTTGGAACATGAAATTCCTTTTGATCACTAACCTTAGCCCCATCTGCTAATAGGATGTTACTTACATTAAAAAATTTTCATCACTTAAATCCTCCCCCCTCCAGATTATTGTATAATATTAAAGGGTTTTGATACAGGTTATCCTGAGAATCAATAGTGTCTCCTCAGAGGCAGAGTACATTTTCCTCACCCAGATCTTTTCCTCCAGTTCACTGATCTGGGTTAGATATAATTAAATTATATCACCTTTTTTATAGCAGTTAACAATTGATGATCCTAAAAGTCACCACTCTGTCATCAGAGTAATTTCTGATCACTGTTGCCTGATCTTTAAATGGTCAGTGTAAAAGGAACAACGTCAATGCATTGTCAACATGAAATCCTGGCCAATACAATATTTAATATACTTCTGTTTTTAATGTTGTATCATAACTGCACTGAGATTCATATTGTAACCTTTCTATGGAAAATCTACCTGTGTGTTTTTAAGGAACACTTGACATACATGTTTTAATTCTATTGTTGTTTTTCCATTTATTAAGCAAAATGTACTTGAGACTATAATTATTGATAAACAGGCTGGCTGGGCTGCATTTTTGCTCTTACTGAAATCAAAATGATGCCTTGTTGTCATGCAATTGCCTTACAAACCACACAATTATAACAATATTTAGTGTTTTTTCAAAGTGCTTAAGATTACTTAAATGCCACACAAACGCTCGCTTACTTTTCAAGTGTCCTTTAGTCTCTAAGGCCTCAAACATTTATGTCTTTTGAAATCTTTTTCTGCCTTCCTTAGCTGCTAAGCCTCTCAATACCTAAAGAGCTATTTATTTGCTCCTGCCATGGATGTGCTGGGGGCATGATCCAGTCACAGTGAAGCACTTTCAAGGCTTGTTGATTTCAGAGGATGAGGGGTGCAATCCTCTGTTCAGTTGACAACAGTGGTTTCTAACAAACATGCACAGGATTGAGCTGCATCTCTCCCACACTTAAGCCAGTGGTCTTAACGTGCTTCAGTTTGACTGGATTGTTCAAAGAAGTTGGAACTAATAGTTTGAATTTTGTCAAATAGGGGTTAAGTATTATAAGGGGGCTTGGGGGAAGCCTAGAATGGATGTTTCCTTTATTAGGATTTTGATCTTGACTGATTCTAGTCTTACTACCATTACGTTTGTGAAGAACCCTGAATGTGTGTGTACTCATTCCTAATTATGCTTGTAAAAATTTTGATTCATGTTATCCCAGTGGTCGCTTTTTGCACAAACCCTAAAGTTGATCAACTCTTTTCATCTTGGTCCATGGTGTCCTAGCCGTTGCTGCCATCAGTGTGTTCAGTGCTGTTTCTTTGTCAGTCCTGCCTTTCAGTCTTAATCTACCTGTTTTGTTGTTAACTTTTTTTTTACTTTATTGTTCTTTGAAACCCTGTTTGCAGCTGTTGGATGCATGTTTACTTCATTTTCTTTTCTTTCCTTCCCCCTGCAGTTTCGATTAAGTGAGTTTGGTACACTGGAGATCATTACAGAAGCTGAAGCAAAAGCTACAAAAAGTCTCTCTGCCTCAGCTGTAACTACCAATTCAGCCATCCTTAATGCATCTACCTCTTCTGCTTCCAGCGCCATAACTACACACAATTCTGACGGTGAGCCTTAAGCTGAGGGAAGAAATACGTAATGGAAAAAGAGGTTGAGGCTGATGTGTTTTTTAAAAATATATATAGAAGAGAGGATTGGATTTATACCCCACCCTTCACTACCCAAAGGAGTCTCAGAGCTGCTTACAATATCTTTTCCCTTCCCCTCCCCACAACAGACACCCTGGTAGGTAGGTGGGACTGAGAGAGCTCTTTTGAGAACTGCTCTTTCCAGAACAGTTCTGAGAGAACTGTGACTGACCCAAGGTCATGCCAGCAGCTGCCTGTGGAGGAGTGGGGAATCAACCCGGGTACTCCCAGATTAGAGTCCACGGTCCTAACCACTACACCAGACTAACCGCTACACACATGTAACTCTAGTTCCCATGATATGTGATTGGTATGAACTGTGTTCCATGACCTGGATAGATCTTGTTAGCTCTTGGAAGCTAACTAAGGAGTGTCAGCCCTGGTTAGCATTTGGGTGGGAAACCTTCAAGGAATTCCAGAGTTGGTACACAGAGGTAGGCAATGGCAAGCCACTTTTGTTTGTCTCTTGCCTTGAAAACCCTGTGGGGTCACAATAAATCTGCTGCAAGTTGACAGCATAAAAAAAAAGTACTGTCACATAGCTGTGCTGGTTTGATTCTCCAATAATCTTTAGTTATCTGAACGTAGCTAATTCTTCATTAGTGTTAATATCAGCTGCATTTCATACTGATCTTTAGGGACAGACACAGTAAGGGCCACTTTGATTTTCTAAGTGTTGTGGTTCAATAATTAAGACAACATTCCCTCTGCCAAGAGAACCACTGATGTTCTTATTAAAAAAAATGTTTTTTGTCTTCTTTGACCCATCATCTTGTGCCAAATTTCATCAAGAAGAGAGATCTTGAGCAAGATAGATTGTTTCTAACACCCTTGCTGGGGCAGGATTTTTCCTGCTGCTATGGAATGCCTTAAATAAGACCTCTTGTTAGCAATCTTCAGTTTTTTCGGTAGAAAAAGCTGAGAACTTTCTCTTGTTCCTAATGATCAGGATTTCTTACGATAGTTCTATAGATTGTAATACTTGCACATATTGCTGCATGTACAGCTAAACAAATCTGGAATGGATATACCATAGTTTTCAAAACATTCACATGTCTGTGTTGGATCCCCAAGCATCGAGAATAAATCCACGTTTTGAAGAAAAGCAAAATTTATTTCAAAGCATTGGAAAGACACTCAAACACGTTCTTTGTTAGAACTGACTACAAACGGTTAGGGCAAACAAGATAAAGGGATTTGAACCAGGTACAGGACCAATGGGGCACTTTCCCGCTGGCGGGTGAAAGGAAACGGGTACGCGCTCATTCCCTGAGAACCAAGCTATCTCCAGACATAATACAGGTGCAGTTCCCAGGCTCTAAAAGCAACAAGCTGGCAGTAAAGCATACTCCCCCAATACATCCTCCAGTTGTTAGGCTTAGGCATTACAGCAGAGTAAAATACAGGCGTACAGGCAGGGGGGGGGGTTTGAGCAACTGTACAGAGATACAACCAACACAGAACACCATGGCAGCTTGCTGACAGTCTGTTAGCGTGTATGTTCTTCACCTGTTTCTCAGGCACTCCCTAACTTTTATGATGGAGATATGATCTCTGTCTGTGTCTATTCCAGAGAAGTACAACCATGCTGGTGAAGGTAGGAGCACTGTTTTGATGTGGATGGGGCTCAATCTTCTTCGTGGTCTCTGTGCATCACACCCTTGGGATAGTCTGCGCCTGCGGTGACCTTCTTCGGTATCGTTAGCAAGCAAAAAGGGATTTTCGCACCCATTCCCTGGTCACGCGCCGGGCTCCACTGCGCATGACCAAGGAGGGGCATGCAGATCCCGCCAGTTCTTTTCTGACCGCCGCGCTGGTAGGATGCCTTGCTTCGGTCGGTAAAGTATTTGCCTTTGGCCTTGTCTTTTCTTGCGTTAGTTAGCATTTTTCTTTATTTTTCCTTTAGTTAGAGCTTTTTCTTTCGGGTCCAACTTTTGGAAAGAAGGTTTTCCTCTCCGCCGGCTTATGGCCGCGCGGTGGGGCTTCTTTAAATGGTGCAAGTCCTGTGGACTTAAGATTTCCCCCTACGACAGACACTCTTGTTGTTTATTGTGCCTTGGGGAATCACACTGTGTTTCTTCGTGCCCTCATTGCAAAAGTTTTTCTAATCAAACGCGAAAAAATAGAGCGGCTCGGCTACATAGGGCACTCATGGAGAAAGCCCTTTCGCCACAATCTACTTCTCCTCTGGAGACGTCTGGGCATGCTTCGATGTCTACAACAACTTCGGACGTTCCTCTTCCCACTTCAGGAACTTCGACATCGACTGTCTTCATCGATGTATCGACACCGAAATGGTCGGTATCGACCCACAAGTCCAATATCCCTGTACCTTCCAAGATCCGGAAGCAGGGGTCAGATATTGCCATACCTTCCAAGATCCGGAAGCTAGGCACAGGCACAAAAGAGAAGCATAAAAAGCATAAGAAAGGCTCTAAGACCCAGCCTCTTCTAATAGCTTCTACTGTGTCTGCTAGTCAAGGTCATGCTCCAGTGTCAAGTCCTTCTGAACACACTCGGCCTGTCGACTCCGATCATGATTTTGATCTCACTCAACCGGCACCGTTGTCAGACATCGACCTTTCCGGCCATCAGTCTCTCTCATGTTCGCCATCGCACAGCATCGAGGATCAACACCGACCACAACCTTCGCCTCCCTTAACTTGGGATCAGCGCCAGTGGCGGTACCTTTATGGTAACTATCCTTATCCACCAACGATGCCATGGGCACTTCCCCCACCCCACCCTCCAGTGGATTGGGATCGTCAGTCGGTGTCATCCAGAATCTCTCAGTACTGAGAATCAGCATTGGGGTCAAGGACTTAGAAGCTGACGCACAAGCCGCTTCCAGCTCTGCCTCCGCCACCGATTCCACCGATACCGACGGAAGTACCATCGGTACCGATAATGCCTGTTCCCTTTTCCGAGCCTTCGGGGGATTCCTCTAGCTCTGATGAACTCTCTAATCCAGCAGATGATGCTGACCTCCCATCACCCCCTCCGGATGTTGAGGCCGATCTCCCCATTTCACCTTCAGAGGATGTCAAGTCGTATGGTGATTTTATCCAACGGATGGCATTGGACCTCTCCATGACCCCCACTCTGGTATCTCAATTGGTCGATGACACCGTTTTCGATATTATGCAGTCCAGCACGCCGTCTTCAGTGGCACTGCCCATGACTAAAGTTATGTTAAAGACGACAAAAGATTTGTGGGATCATCCTTCTTCAGTACCCGTGTCCAATAAACGTTTGGGTCACATGTACAGGATCCAAGAGACAGGGGCCGAATTTTTATTTACTCACCCCAAACCAAACTCTCTTGTGGTCACCTCCTCCACCAAGGGAAAATCGAGTCGTTCTACTCCTTCAGAGAAAGAAGGAAAAAAGATTGATTCCATGGGAAGAAAATTTTATACTGTAGGGGCGATGGGCATCAAGACTTCCAATTATGCTGCATGCATGGGACATTACCAATTTAATCTTTGGAAACGTATGTCAGAGTTTTTATCACACCTTCCTAGAGAATTCTGTTCCCAAGCCAAAGGGATTCAGAATGAAGGTATGATTCTGGCTAGGCATCAGATTAGTGCTGCTAAGCACACTTTGGATTCAGCAGCCAAGACTCTCACGCATGGCTCTGTTCTTCGTCACTCCCCTATGATACTAGATCCACTGTGGAAGATCTCCCTTTCGAGGGTGTTGGTCTATTCAGTTCAACCACCGATGCCGTAAAAGCATTAAGACGTCTCGTAGCCTTGGGATTTCACCATCACCCAAATACACCAAGCCTAAACAATGGTCTCGACAGTCGTGGTCGCATAGATCATCCTCCTCAAAATCACCTATCGAGCAACATTGGCAGAGACCATCCAACTCCCAACCTCGCTCTTTTGGGAACAAGCCAAGATTCGCGCACTCTGTGCACCATAAGCAGAAGTCTTCTAAGAACCCTAAACAGGGCCTTTGACTCCCTCCCCAGTCCAGCAACTCGTCTTGCCCCGTTCCTCGAAGCCTGGCAAACGATATCCACAGACAGATGGGTATTTTCAGTAATCAAAAATGGTTATCTAATCGAGTTTCTTCAGGTTCCCCTCTTCTCCCACTTTGTCCGAACACCTGTATCACCCGTCCTTCTTCAAGAAGTTCAGTCTCTCACCACAAAGAACGCCATAGAACCCGTTCCAGCTTCAGAACACCATCAAGGTTTTTACTCTCGGTATTTCACAGTTCTGAAAAAGGATGGAGGCCTCCGTCCAATTATGGACCTCAGATTTTTAAACCAGTTTATCATTTACAAGAAATTTCGAATGACCACTCTTGAAAACATCCTGCCACTACTGTCACCAGGTGCATGGATGGTCACTCTAGACTTGAAGGATGCGTACTTCCATGTGTCCATTCACCCGTCACACAGACGTTTCCTCAGATTCGCCGTCGGGGATGCGCATTACCAGTTCAAGGCCCTTCCCTTTGGACTTTCCACCGCCCCGAGGGTCTTTACAAAGGTGATGGTCGTCATAGTGGCACATCTTCGTCTCCATGGAGTACAGGTGTTCCCGTATATAGATGACTGGTTGCGGAGTGCAAGGACACACTTCTTCTCCACATTGACCTCACCCTGTCGACTCTTGCGTCCCTGGGCGTTCTAGTGAACCTCCAAAAATCCATGCTTCTGCCAGCGACTCGGGTACAATTCATTGGAGCCATCACCGACTCAGTAGACACGCGAGCCTATTTGCCTCCTCAGAGAGCGGAATCTCTTCATCACGAGATTCAATTACTGTTCCAATCAAGCCAAACCTCGGCAGTTCGCATTCAAAGGTTGCTGGGGCTCATGGCTGCCACCACTTCGGTCCTCACATGTGCCCGGCTTCGCATGCGTACACTACAACTGTGGTTCCTCAAAAGATTCAAAC